ACAAGCTTTCTAACAATATAATATAAAAAGACTTGTGTGAGTGTCGTAAAATGTAAACCCATTGAAAATCACATGATCATAAGATAGTGTAAACACGTATAGTGTCGTTAATGTGTTTATATTATAATTTTCAACGAACTAAGTTGATCAGTTCACATACATTATTTCTAATGCACGAGTTTTATATTTCCATTATAAATATTTGGTAATGAAATCATTGGAACACTCTGAATTGTTGAATTGGGTTCAATAAACATAGTCAGGTGAATAACTGTTTAAAACCTAAATTATGTCCCTACATTATTACCACTACAGATTGCGTTGAATAAATTTGCTCTTCAGACCAAGACATTAGCCGCCTTCACACAGTTTGACTGCTAGAGGACGTTCGGTCTCTTCGTTATTCTTTAATTTACTGCGAACTGTTAGACGCCAAAATCTAACTGACACCACTAGTAAAGTAAACATTTCATAGTTTCATACAGTGTCCTTTTATGGTGTCATAATTGTCTTCTATTACTTGTGGAATATTATTTATCACATTTTTGAGTATTAAGAAAAATAAATGAAGTCGATTTTACCTTGATAATTGTTCAAATTTTGTAATTTTCTGTTTTAAGTGGACAAGATAAATAGTATTGCTTTAATTATTGGAAGTCTTAGTTCCCACGTGATGATAAACAATTATAATGCATCTGTTATAGCAGATCATTCTAAGTGAGATATAGAAATACAAGTCTGTCGTAAATTGTAATCAAGCTGCCAATTACATGTGCATTAGTCAAAGTAAACACTTATCATGTGATTTACAATTGTCACTACAACATACTTAGCAACGAAATAAAATAATAAGGCCACTAGAAAGCAAGAAACCCTCAATTGTTGTCTCTCAACTTTCATGATTAGGTCATATTTCCTTATTGGCAGTTACCGACTATTCATGCGATTGGAAATTTCTCAAGATTGTTTATTCAAATAACTTGTTACTTATAATACGCACGCTAATCGGAGCTGACTGTACATGCTCACGGTAAACCTGGTCAATATATATTCTATTTCGGCTCTGTTCTGTCAAAAACGTGAGTTATGATTCAAAACGTATTTACACATCATGTACACGAGTAATTATTTTGGGGGAATTGTCATTGATATGTATGCTGACGATCAAACTCTGGACCAATTATCAATGTAGTGTATTAATGATTATGTTTGGCCACTTTTGCGTTCAGTTAATTGCAATACATGTAAATCAACACATTCAAATCAATATCTGTGCTCGCTGGATCCCGTCAAAAGCTAAATAATATTGGTGAAGGTTCTAATTTTAATTTTAATGGTGAAATAATGTCAGTTTCTAAAAGTCGGTCGGAATGGTAATAGATAAAACTCAATCATTGGACTATCATGTAGATATCCGTTGTGAACAGTTTAGCCCAATATTCCAATTGGCCTTTGACATTTCATTTCATTCAGCATCACCCTGCATATGTTTACTTCGTTACCCATAACCTTCATCATCCAATCAGATTGCATATCCATCGCCCCTCCTTCAAATTTACGTAAGCTCATATCATCTTGCTAGACTACGTTCTAAGTGCCACGTCGCGAAATCTTCCGTCATTTATATCGTTCCACCACAAAACAATGGTAAAAGCAGAAAAGAAGAAATCTGGTTCAACTTCAATCACCATGAAAATCAATCAATAATGTTAGCTTATTTGTCAACATTAGCAACGACGAATCTGTGCATAACCAGCTGTGTAGGCGTCTACTAAATAATCAAACACTACAATGAACTTTCAAACAGACCAACTCTCGTCCAGCACAGCCAAGAAGTGCCAATGCACCAATCCCGCCGGCTGATCTATTCTTGTCATTTGCTGAGCGAGGCACCTTTAATACAGTCAGCACCAGGAGTAAATGCACTGATATTTACACCAGATATCTTCCTTCATAATACATATCCATCCATCAAAACACATATCTTATTCGATCCTATCAACCAATCCTTTTCGACAGAAGCCTCTTCTTCTCACCCAACTGGCTACGATAGCAAGCGTAAATGCCATACAAAGCCAGAGTGTCCCCATGACAGAGCGAATGTTTTTAGTAACATTCCATACTACATGTCCATTGACGGATAACAAACAACAGTATTAGTGGTGGGAACAGTATTAGGGGAACATGCTTCACTTCACTTCATGCATGAACAGTATCCTACAATAATTCTTCATCTACAACGCATCATACTGACCATGGTGCTTTCATCCATCAACACCTTGCACCTACTACTAGCTCCAGCAGTTACCAGTAAATACAGTAATAATGCTTCAGCCAACCACACTACTCAAGATTTTCACTACCACCCACGTTTCATTGCATCCATACTCCTCGACATCACACATTGTGTATATGTGGGAAAAACTGAAATTATATGGACCACAAATGCAAGATCAGCACAATTTCAAAGTTACTGGTATCAGAAGCAATTGCAAAGGAAGTCAAGCATGGTCTGATTCTCCTTTTCAACATTTTAAATATCATCATCTATTACCTTAGAGTATGAGAAAAGCAAAAATAGCAAGCATCCTGGATCTTTCACAGCTAACTGAAAACTAAGTAAATGACTACATTTCAAAAGAAAACTATTACAGCTGCAATGTTGATGATGCTGCAACCATGATCCCTGTTCAAAACACGCAATCACGCTCTGTCCAGTACGTAAGAAACTGACTTTCGCCTACCCATTTTCTTTTTAACCAAATCGCGACTGCACACCATTCAGTGATATTACCCTCTATCTCAATGGCTTTCTGATTTTTGGCCCACCATAATTACAATATTAAGTGCTCCAAGCTTGGCACCTCAACCCCCCACTGAGAAGTCAATAGACCAGCATCAACAATGATATTCCTATGAATATGCCCATTCAGACTCTGTCCAGTACGTAAGAAATTTACTTTGGTCTGCCCATTTTCTGTTCAACCAAATCGCCACCGCACACCATACCATACAGCGATATCACCTTAATGGCTTTCTGATAGTTGTCCCACCATAATCACAATATTAAATGCTCCACGCTTGGCACCTCAACTCCCACCGAGAAGTTGACAGACCAGCATCAACAATGACATTCCTAGTAATATGCTCATTATGCCCCAAACGAGTCCACTTGTCTGTTTAGGCTTTTGTTGTATCTTTGTTTCCGGTCACAGCTTACTACAGCACGTTGGAAAAATAATTTTAAAGGTCAGATCATGTTGTTAAAATCACTTACAGTTTTTGTGAATTTACATGACGCAGATTGAGCAGAACTAAATTAGTTAATAAATTTGACTCGTCTTCTATTTCGTCTTCGAGAAACCCTCTGACTTGAACTCCCATAAGATTGATCTCCGTCATGTTTCTAGGCGGAGATCATGCCCTATTATCTCTTCATCACAGAGAGTTGGAATAACTTACTGTGAAAGCAAAGATAAATAAAACATCAACATTGCAGTATAATTCTCACAAAGTAGCTAGTGTTTCCTCTGGTAATGACTTATGTTATGTAGCTCGTTCGTTAGCAAACCAGTGTTGTCGTCCGTTCTATCTTGCAAAAATCAATGAGTGATCAAAGCGCTGTTAATTGGCGGAAAGAACCATACTTCAGGCTCTTGGTGTCATGAATGATGTACTTAATGTAATGTCGCCCCCAAGCGCCGAGTTAGAGAGGATTGGGAACTAGCTGTATGACATCACGCAATCAAATTCGTGATTCTATTTTGAGCGTACAGGATTATCGACACTCCAGGCTTTCAACAAGTAGTCTTCTAATACTAGCACTTGCCAGTTACATTGATTACTTTGATTGCATACTTTTGATAGGAAATGAGAGAAATAAATATAACGTTGTAATAAAGTAGTATCGAAATAACGTATAAAATAGTGTACAGGATATATATTCTATATATGTCAATGACATTTACAAGCTATTCACTAATACTACTATGTTTAAGACTACACACAGAAAGTGGTGTCTGGTAGTTCACGCTGAACGCAACCGAAACAAAAATTGCATGTGACATGTATGGTGGTTGGTGGCAACGTATTTATACGTTTATAATATATATATAAATGTTTACTTGAATGTAAGGTAAAACATTATAGTTATATAAAATATATAATTGATCACAACACAGATCTTTTCATTCACAATTTCAGTATGTAAATTTAATGAGAATACTGACTAAAACATCTGAAAAATCAACTATGACGCACACGTGTACTACATCTACGTATTCGATAAATGTTAAAGGACTTTCATAGCATATTCCATTCGAAAATAGGGAAATGTACCACATTTCATATTACTTATGTCTAGACGTGTTGACAGAACTCGCTAAATGCTTTCAAAAGTACAATAATTCCACCTCAACTATTATTTATACATAGTTTGTACCATAGTTTTCAAGACAGATGAATCAGTCGTACCCAGTCTCTTCTGAATGTAAAGTCCTCCCCATGGAAAAATGTCTCGGGCTGCAGCCGCTACATTTTAGATCGCATTATATTATACAAACCAGGAGAAATCAACCCCACAATCTGGACAACTCCAGTCTGATACGCAAGGCTAAATATGTCCACGACATCAACTCATTTTGTCTTATGCCTGTGTGTTGTATTTCTGACATTCACGTGGTTTCTAGGTGGGGACCTCCCTTATAGAAGATGGTGGAACAATCAACAACGCTCAGGTTCTGAGACGACTGGCTATGAACAGAAAAGCAGGGCTGACTCACCCAAGATCA